ATAAAGTAGGCAGTAAATAATAAGTTAAAATGCATGCATATATATATATATATATATATATACATGTAGTTACAGGTAGAGCGATGTTTCTTCTATAAATCTATGCAGCTGGCACATCCCGAAATACTCTAATGGTCGAAGAACTGTCGCCAGTTAGCCAAAAATCAGCTTTTGGCATTATACGTGAATTACTACAATTGGTTGAGAACCATTTCATCGTTAACATTAGTAATATGGACAAATGATAACCAAATAAGCAAATGGTCAAATTATAACCGTTCGCTTATCTTCAAAGGTTTATCGCCTCATCGTAGCCGGGAGGTGTTCCTGGATGTCGAACTGTGATGTAAAACGCCAAAGTAATCCATTCTGCAGAATCCCCTAAGCAGAGAATCAGTCCGACGTTTCCATGTGGAACTCCAGCTGGCGAAACAAATGCCAGGAATCACCAGCCTCCTGGTATTAAATCTGTCGCATGGTGGCTAATCCTCTACGGATCCGCAAGTGCCTTCGGCTGCCTGAGATGGTGACGACCTGGAGAAGGCTTCGACTAGTTAGACATCGGGCCTATAGAACACCAGATTGCCAAATCAAACGAAGCTGGAGCCCCAGTACCTCGCAAACTGGGCGCTCCCATCTACGACGTCAGGAATAAGACCACCGGTGAAATGAGATCAAATCTCGGGTTGCAGGAAATGTTACTGGAAAGGGACAAAACGAGCACGCAAACGATAAGCCATGAACAATGATTGATTCGTGCTCTACATCGATACCATCAGAAATATCTTAAGGCGCTGATCTTTACACTCTTCTCGAGGCTAGTCGCATGGAATTCCGCATGGTCGCCTTACAAGAAGTAAGAGGCAAGAAGACCAACATTTGAGAAGTAAATAGCGGGACCCTTGCCTCTCGTGTAGGAAAATTTCCGTTACCAAATGTTAGAGAGGTTAGCTTTGTCGTGAGCCCATCTATTTTCTAATCACCTCATACGAAATCCTACATCCATGTTTGGTCATTCTTCGTCTCTAAATTGCGCATCAAAAGAAAGTCAGAATCATTAACTGCTATTCTCCGACTTCCACAGACGATGAGAGCGAACTGGACACGTTCTACAACCAGATGGAGGATTTAAATCCGCAAAGTCGTTCTATAAATTCATTTTTGGGGAATTCAGTACCAAATTAGAAACAGCCGACGAAAATGAATATAGAGTGGGAAAGTTCAGAATTGGAGATACACACAGGAATGGGAGCCATATTGTAGGACTCCCATCCGCAGCATGTCTCTCCCACGAAATTCATTTATCGATAAGAGAGAAAATCGCAGATGGATATAGGGGCTTCTAACGGCACGACACATGTGGAGATCATATTCTCACGAACAGAAAATGGTCTCTTTTACACCTCAGTGGTGCCTACGTTCTGTGGTGGGCCTGCCACCGCCTTCTCCTTGCGAAGATTCGATTCAGCCACAAGCTGGAAAAGAACTGTTATCATCCAAGAAAAACGAAACAAGGCGCGAATGACGAGGATATTCTCAGTAAAATCTCTCCTCGTATGACTGGCAGAAAAAGGAGGACCCGACAGAGGTCTACATGCGACAGAGGACTTTATGAAGGACTTAAAACTTGTACACTCGCCTCA